GTTCAGCAGACACTTTCATAACATAAAGACGATACTGAAATCTGTATTTCAACAGCCAAAGTTTATCTTGATATGAAATGTATGTCTATACTGCAGTGATTTCCTGGATACCCATCTTATACAGGGTGGGTGAAAAGTAACTAGCTATTAAAAATTGGTTATAGAACTTGTGGTATCACTGGAGTCATGATGAAAACACACTAAATTGATTGATACTACAAGTTTTCTAGCCAATTTTTAATGCCTATTTATTTTTCACCCACCCTATATTATAACCCTGAGATGAAAGGTCAAGGGTTGAAGTGTACAGTTTTTGTTTTTTTTATGCAAATACAGCAATGGGTCATGTCCAAATCTTTCCCACACAAGATCATTCCAGTGGATGGATTGTAACTGACCTTGCAGCTGGAAATGTTGTTGCTTTAAAAGGAAGGCAGCACTTTTCAATGGCATTTATGTTTCAACATTTTCTCGTTCTTCTCAGACAACTCTCCGAGGAAAATGCCAACCTCCAAGTGCATGTGGAGAAGGAGAGCAACGAGAAGAAGCGGCTCAGTCGCACTAATGAGGAACTGCTGTGGCGTCTTCAGACAGGCGAGCTGAGCCCTCACATGTCTCCCAGCTCTTCGCCCATCCACCGACCCACCGATGAGTCAGGCTCCCCTGCTCGCCCACACTCCTATCATCAGTGACGCTCTCAAGGGAAGCCGTTCTATCAAACACTTGTCTGGAATCAGAAAGCCAGATTTTTGTTTTCCAACTTGTTGAACGTTCCTCTTAGTTAAAAGGGTAGGATTTTACACTATTGTATGTAAATGGACAAACGTGTTTCTTGGGAAATGCTACTTGCCTGTGTGATGCATTTCTAAAGTCAAACCTGAGAAATTTTAATCTCTGACCTAAAGAAATGTATAAAAAAATACCTCTGATTGTTCAAAAGGGAAATACTCCACCCTCCTCTTTCTATTAACATCTGAACGCCCGCCAAGCAGACGCACTGCGATACTGCAGTAGATGAAATACCTGGTCAGAGAGCAGCATCAAAGTCTGTGTGCCTCATACCCATGTTTTCACCTGCTTCTACATCTCCACCCTCTCATCCATCACTCAGGATGATGGACAAATAAGCAAACATCAAAAGTGCAACAATGAACTCGAGAAGCGCCTTTTCCATGCATCCTCTTACACCAGCAACATCTGCCGAGGCACAGGCAAGTCAGATCACAGAACTACCCAGGTTAGTAAGTTACTCTCAAAGTGTGAATTCTCCTTTTGAGCTGTGTTAACCTTTTGATGCTGAAAATTTTCATAAATCAGGAGTGCATGTGTAACCGGTCGCCTTTGGGTCTCTATACTGTCCTCCTAGTCCTCCGCCTGTCCCCCTGGTGACTGGCCATGCTGCGTTGTGTTACAATTCGCCCTCTGTAAGTAGCACTTCATCATATCCTCCCATTCACTGATGGGGAAAACATCTTTATGGTTACCTTCAAAGTAAGGAGGGGGGTTTCGCATCTGACTGCACAACCACCTTTACCTGGGACTGATTACAATCATGTGGGAGAACTGACAGTCCACCCACATTACCAGCATAGGTGGACGCCAGCCTCCCTGTGCCATAACCAGGGGTAAGCAGCTGACCTCTTCCCAGCCCAGTAGCATGGTGAGTGGGCATATCACCACTCTCTAACCCCTCACTGGACATGTTAGCTGGATAACTGTAAATGTCACAGGAAAAAAATAAAATTAAATTAAAAATTAAAAAAAATGAATATTTCTTTTTTTTTTTCCTTTTTTTTTTTTTTAGAAAATATATGAACAACTGATGCCTTCACATCCCCAAACGAAATAAAATATTAACTTCCCTCACAAAGCGCTACTTCAACAGCCTGTTAATTTCTTCTTTAGTCCAAGCCAAACCTTAACCAAAGGGTAAACGAGGTGGTCCATCAAAACGGCGTTCCTCGCGGAGCACAGTTGAGATGAAGCGGCGAAGCGTCGACAGCAATCTGATGTGGAGCGGAGTCCATCCGGGTCACGGCACCACGTGTAACCGGTCGCCTTTGGGTCTCTAAACTGTCCTCTTAGTCCCCCGCCTGTCCCTCTGTTGACTGGCCGTGCTGCGTTGTGTTAGCTTTGGGACACATGGACCGACACACTTGCTATTCACGGGGCCCTTTATTGCTGGTCATAGAAGAAAAATACATACAACAGTTAGCCTCCAGTGAGTGCTCAGCTCGCTCCTCTTTCCACTCGACACCGTGCAGGAAAAAGAGCGGGAAAGAGATGCGCCGGGTAATAACATGCAAACTATAAAACATAACTTGGACATACCTGGTCATAGAAGAAAAACACATACAACAGTTAGCCTCCAGTGAGTGCTCAGCTCGCTCCTAAACAAAAACACACAACAAGTTTACCCATGCGACCCAGGGTGGGCGATAAAAGTAAAATAGTCGCAAATTGATGGAGCGCTCACCTCTTTCCACTTGACACCGTGCAGGAAAGAGAGCGGGAGATGTGCGCGACCCCTATTTATACCCGGCTACCAACGAAGAAAAGCATGGCTCAGTTGCGAGTCCTAGTGGAGTGGAGGCTTCCCTGACCAGGCATGTGAACTAACTTACACATGAACCAAAACATTTTGTGTAATGATTACATCCTGGTTACATTCTGGGTACATATTGCATCCTGATTACATTCTGTGTACTTATTATACCCCGGTTACACATGCATTACCACCATCTAACCTCAGTCATCTGTCCTACACCCCCCTTAAAGACCTAGATCTCAGCACTGACCTGGAATGTGTGGTTACAAATCCACTGAACTGCCTACACAAAGTTATTCATTATAATCTGTAAAAACTACATGTATTGCTCTCTTTAACGCATGAACGGTCTTCCAGTTACAATGAACTTTACTTTAGGAGTGGCAAGGTGAAGGGGGCAACACAAGTTGTCTCATTTCTAATAAATCAGTTTTTATTCAAATCAAACAGATACAGTACATGATAGTATTTCACATTAATCTCACATTTTGTCAGGTAAGAAAATATAACGTTTCCTATAAAAGAAAAGCAGAAGCTGTAGAAGCCACCAAAGAAAAAATGATTAAACACAGCACTTCATTGTGTAGTGTAGCTGTCATGTCTGGAGCTGCTGTCAGTGCTGCAGAATCAGCCCTAAATGGTGCACACATTGCAGTGCTTGTTAAAGTATTCACTTGAACACTTGTAAATCCAGCATCTACACTGATCAGGCATAACATTGACGACCTGTACATCTGTATGCACTTCAGCCTTAACATTTGTGTTTATTAAGCTCAAAATGTTTGTTTGTCATAAATTCAATTACATGTTCACTATTGAGGTCATAGTTAAAGGTGGTGGTGTACTGGACTACATGATATTCAGAGGTGTTCCTAATATTCTGACTCTCATGTATGTCAAAATATGTCAGGACAAAATATACAGACACCTCTGAATATCATGTAGTCCAGTACAACGCCACCTTTAACTATGACCAATAGTGAACATATAATTGAATTTATGACAAACTGAAACATTTTGAGCTTCATAAACACAAATGTTAAGGCAGAAATGTTGCACTGAAGTGCATACAGATGTACAGGTGGTCATAATGTTATGCCTGATCTCTATATATTACATTATGGTTTAGAATTCATTCTTTAACTGCACTCGCAATTAAATAAAATTGTTGCTATTTTTTTTGTCTTGCTAAAACAGAAAATCTTGAGCTAATGGACAAAAGTACCACTCATGTACCTCTAATTGACTTTTGCCAAAATTCTTCATGAAAATAAGCTGGAAAATCTGCAGATCTATTACCTCATTTCTCATTGTAAAGAAGACTCTCAGGTGCTGAGAAGTGAGTTTTTAAAGGGAAGCAACTGCCATAAACTTTTTTTTTTTTTAACTTTCGCTTATGTTCCAATCAGCTCAACCGTCTGTTTTTGCAAGTTTATTTGGATAAACAGAATATGTACGCTCACTTTATTAGGTACACCTGTTAAATTGTACACACTTCAGTTCAACACTTCTGCTTTAACATTTGTGTTTATGAAGCTCAAAATGTTTGTCTTTGGTGAGATTGTCAAATGTATAAATTCAACTATGTGTTTATGATTGAGATCATAGTTAAAGGTGGTATTGCACTGGACTACATGATATTCAGAGGTGTTTTTAATATTCCGACCCTCTTATGTATGTTGCTGGGGAGGACAAAAATATAGACGCCTCTGAATATCATGTAGTCCAGTACACCACCACCTTTAACTGTAACATCAATAATAATTTATACATTGACAATTTCATCAAAAACAAACATTTTGAGCTTCATTAACACAAATGTTAAGGTGGAAGTGTTGTATTAAAGTGCATACAATTGTACAGGTGTGCCTAATGAAGTGGCCAGTGACTATATAAATACAATTCACATCCAGTTTTAAAAAGAGCAAACAAATATTTTAAAGAAATGTTCTTCCTTACTATAATAATGATATAATAAACTCCCCCAGACATAACGTGGATATCTACTCAAACAGGGACTGGTTGTAGGTGAATTCCATTTTCTGATGATTAACTTGATCGCTAGTGGGCTTTACTATGTTCTGAAAGGATAAGGCCGGCCCTTTTCTGTTTTAACAGTATTTTCAGCAGCCCCCCTACAGAGACTAAAAACTAACAATGATTCGCGTCTACTCATTTAAGTCGGCCAGTCCTGATTAGCTTATTCGTTTGTGCCATAGACCTCCATTGTTGTTCAAAAACATCAGAGAAACACGATGCTGCACTAGGTGACGCATTTCCTCATTATGAAACACCAGACCCTAATATTTCCTAAGAATTTCCAGAGAGCTTGTGTATGGACATTTGAGTCTTGCTTGTGGTGTTTCAGAATGAGGAAATACGTCACCCAGGGCAGCCGTGTGTTTCGCTGATGTGGTTTTAATCATTTCTCAACAACAGTGGAGGCCTAAGATGAGTAAACTAATCCAGGACAGACAGACATTAACAGTCACTGGAGTTAGCCTCTGTATGGGGACTGTAGGAAATACTATTAATATAGAAAATGGCTGGCCTTATCCTTTAAGGGAAATTATATTTCTCTCCATCAGGTGCTCCAGTTACACTGTGTCCTGTGGACATGACCTTGAACTCATTTAATGAATGTTTATTCAACACTAGAATAAAAGGTTTTGTTTACAGTTCAAATGTCAAAGGAGGTTGGTGTATTACACGGATGTCAGTCAGTTCTTCTGTTGAAAAGATTGTATTCAGTATTTGAGAAATCCATGCTCTGGATAGATGTCTATGAAAGCATGTCATTGTGCATCATTTTACATTTATTGTGCAATTCATATACCGTTTTGTTTCCAGTATTTGTCCTCCTTCAGAACTACAACTGTAGCTTAAAGGTTTGTGGTCAGTGATAAACTAATGTTTATACTGTACATGTCGCACTTTGTATTTAAGTATTAAATCACAATAAAAGTGTACAAAAGCAAAATTTTGTGTGGATGTCTTATAATAAACATTAAGCCTCTTGGACTATTCTTACCACTTAATCTCATATCTGTAATAACAATGTCAGTGCAAATCTGAGTTACTTCTTCTTGTAAGACTTGCTGGTTGAGATTCGTCACTTTGTCTGCATGAAATTCTGCAATATATCTATGGGCAGAGGGAAGATGATGGTTGAGTTCTTCTCCGCTGCGATGGAATGGAGGGTTTGCAGGTATCGCAGCTGGAGAGCAGAGGGTGACTCGGCAATGACCAAAGAGGCTTCTTTCAGTGCTCTCGAGGCGTTCATCTCTCCCTCTGCGGCTATGAACTGAAACACAGCGAGACTACCATTAATTTTCAGATATTCTCTCTCAGCACTTTTATTTTTTGGGGGTTAGAAGAGATGAGGAATTAAATAAAATCTGCCACGGCCCCGTCTACCTTAGCCCGAGCCTCCCGAGTGGCCTCTGCCTCTGCTGCCATGGCTCTCTGCAGCTGTTGAGGACATCCTTGATGTCCACACGTTCCACCTTAATACCCCACGGATGAGTGGCTGCATCCAGAGCTGCCTGCAGGAGAATATTGGGGGGAAAAAAACAATGTAGTCATATAAAGCCATTGTTAATTCCGCTTAATTATATTATCACCCAACTTTTAGGTCTATAATTCTTTTTTGCCTTTCATTATCTCATTATTTTGGCTTTGTGTAACATTTGTTCTGAGTCAAGCTCACATCACTGTCATTTTTCCTGACTGCTAATGCTCTTGGCTCGCACGTACATATTCTGCACCTGGTCAGCAAGCAAGCACATTATTGTAAGGGAATATGGAGAGTAATGAAATCAATATTAGACTTAGAAGCACCAGAACCTACAAGAAATCTGCAAGAGCTGTTTGAACAATGCTAATGCAGTGTTACAGAATGCATTCCCATTTTGTAAATGTAGACTTCAAAGTTTGAATGAAGGACAAACATTTTTTTGTTGCCTCCACAAATCTGGAACTGAGTTCAACTGATAGTGACAGTGGGCATGAGAACAAATTAAACTGTTTAAACCAAATTAAACCATTCCCTTAAAATCATTTTATAGTTATATTTAGCTGCCCCACTTCTGTGTGAACTCCTGATCTCCAGCTCCCCATAAATCTTATTACTACACAGCTGACCCATACCTGCATATTGTGTGATATGCCCTCTCGGTCCGACAACAGTTCTGAAAGGAGTTTGGTGCCGATTACATTCCTCAGGGTGGTTTGAGCCAGCAGATGTGTAGATGAGGGTGCGTTTGTCACATTGGCCACAGATGAGATTGGGCAGTATATGCGGAAGTACACCACACCATCCACAGACACGGTCACTGAGTCTTTGGTTAGGAACTGCAAAAATAAATTACGATATTGCCACTATTCTGACCATCCAGGATAAAGGCAAACAGTTATTAACCACAGAAGCTGCAGACAAGTGATATGATACAGGAAATTTTGAGAGACAAGTGATTTGCCCACATGTAAACACAGCAAATGCAAAAATCTTACCTCTTGTGCAGGGATGTTAAATGACACAGTTCTCAGATCGACCTTCACAAAGTCATCAGTACAGGGTATAATAAAGAAAAGTCCTGGAAATAAATAAAGATCCTGAGTGTTTCAGCAATATATCTAGTCCATCCAGTACTCTCCAACAATCCAACTGGTCTGAGACAACTTTCAGACAGAAGACTATCCAACTCCACTGAGGAACAGAACAGTGTGCAAAGATTGTAGATGAAGCCTAATTGGATCAATTTGTATACTCATGTATGCAACACAGTAGGTGACAAACCTGGTCCTTTAGGCTTCCTGTCTATGATCCGGCCGAGTCTAAAAATGACAGCTCGCTCATACTCTTTCACTATCTGTAGGTTAGAAACACAACCATCCATGAATAGAACATAAGAAACACCAAAAAACAAAAACAAATCCATGTTAAGGCAAAAACTGAAATGTGGCCACAATCAGTAAGTGGACTAAATGAAAATGCATCACTAAGGGCTTTGTCAGTTTGCAGAAGTAGTTGGCCAGTATTCGATAAGTATCCGCTGCCCTGTGCCATCCATTTCTTATGTGCTGTTGGTTTCTGACACATCACAGCTAGCTGCACATTTTATTTACTAATCTGACTGGCTGATAATGTGCTTCTGTAACTCACTTTGAAAACAGCACTTCCTACAGTGAACTACATGCTGAGAGTCAGCCTGCCTGAAAAGCTACTATAGCATGTATAGAATTAGACAATATCGACCTTTGCTACCCCAGTGGTTGTGGTACACAACAATTGACCTGGGAAGAATAAACTGAAAACACCACATAGATTGCACCAATTGTCACCAGGGTCGTTTCTTTTTTCTGCAAACAAAAGGTTGCCAACGATGCTGTAATCACGTAAAGTGTTCCACATATTGGCTTTAAAGAATTATGAACATACAGAGAGGTAGTGTTACTTTAACAGAATGGCAGGAGAAGGTGAATAAATTTTTGTATCCCAAATGTGTTTTACTCATCTTATAAACGTCCTGAAAGATTGAAGGAATTAACTGATTTTCTGACGTTACAAAAAATTCTTTAAAAGTTGTCAGTTATATAATGACCATAATGTCCAATTTCAGACCAGTGAATGCAGACTAAAAAGACCCCCACAGAAGTAAGTTCAATATTAATACTTTATCGGCTTAAAGAAACAGAGTGCTCTCATCCACATCAGAAATGAACATTAGTGAGACCATACTCTACCTTAAAACTCATAAAAATTGTGACTGGAAAGGTCACTGCTGCGAAGAGTAGGGATATGATAACCAACAGCCAACCAATACATCCCAGGCTCCCTGCTTTTTTATCTGTAGAGGGAGCGGAAAACACTTTAAAGGCTTATACTTTACAGAGAACAGCAGAATGCTGTGCATTTTCCATGGCACATTTGTTCCACACACGAGCATTTAAATCTAAACGGAAGAGTGTTGTAGTCATTTCACTGTCACACATTGAAATGATCCAGCAGGACAGATGACACGAACCATTCACACAACCAGACGAAGAGCTATGGTGAATTAATAGTGTAATTAATATCTAAGGGAAGTTATGAAAGTTGGCATGCACCTGTCCAACACAGTATTGGGGAGTAACTGGTTACATGTAGCTAATTCAATTAAGTTATAAATGTAACTAATTAGTTATTGAGAAGGATTACAGTTACTAATCAAAACATTGATTACAAAGGGGTTACATCTGAAGAGCTTCTTTTTGGTAAAGGCTTAGAATATAACATTTATTCTGTTGCTTCAAATCATCTCACGAGTCAGCAAAGCCACCGGGACAAATAACGCCACCAGGGGTAGGACGGCTAGCAAGGAAACAAGGAGCTGTCTCTACATCTAGATAATCTCCATTCATTTGGCAGGACGCATTAAGTTTTAAACACTGCTTTTGATTGGTTCTCCTGTTTGACTTTGCACTGCCTCTCATCTGCCAATCAAATTAACTCACTGCCACCAGCCAAAAACACCAAGATGGGTGGCCATGCTGCCAGATAAGAATGATTCTCAGCGCTGAAAATTCAACAGCATTTCCTTCCAAAATCAGAAAAAAAGATTTTCTTGGTGCCCGTTCTGTAGGCCACATTTCAACCATAATATACTGTGTAAGCAAAGCTATGTCGAAGAACCTTTAATAAAAGTTTGACAGTAATAAGTACAGTTGTGAGGTTTACACTGTCTGTTTTAAATGTATGTTAGGACTTTTGAGCTTTATTGACCAGTTAATTTTTTTTTAGACAATTCAAGATTCCTTTATTGTCCTGTTTTAGGCAGTGCACTAAAATGGGGCTCCACAAAAACACTACTCATGCACATCTATGCATACTGTATATAAGCAAGATTTTTCAAACAAGATTCACTCAAGTAACTTAAAGCAATAACTTACATTATTTTGAGGTAATTAGTTACACTACGTATTACATTTTTAACATGGTAACTAGTAATCTGTAAGCTATTACATTTCAAAAGTTACCTTTCCAGCACTGGTCATACAACACAGTCCAAAACCCAGTGGTATATGATTTTCAGTTCTAAAAACACGCAAAAGAAGCTAATCCTCACATCTGAGAAGCTGGAACCATTCTGTTTATCTCTTTTGACTGATAAATGACTTAACCGTACCAAAAGGAACAAGATGAACTTGTTGATGGAGTAAAAGACCACTGCTTGCTGTCACAAGTAGACATCTTTTCTGATCAAAAAGGACAATGCCTAGAGTTCCCGGCCCCTTAAAAGCATCTCTCTTGGGGCCCTCAAACAAATACCTGATATATTGAACCAGAATCATTTAGACTTTTTTCACATTCCTGGTAAATTATTAAATATGTTCACACCAACAGTCAAAGTGTAAGACTCAACAGATTATAAGAAGTATTTACCTTCAATATACTCCACAGGGTTGATCTGAAGACTACCTTGCGTCACCATCTCGGTTGCGCTGGATGTTGCGATCCTAAATGACTTTGTTGCCTGTGTGATAGAGTAAACGAAGAGGAGCTGTGTTTGTTTACCTGCCTGTTCTCCTCACTGGCTGTGGTCCATCTCCTTCTCTCATCGCCTTTCCAGAAGCCTGAGACACATACACACACAGACTCCTACAACCACTTGGTATGCAACTCAAACTCATCTAGAAGGTGCCAATAGGTAACTTAAGCCATAGAGCCTATGCAGCCCTTATACTGGAATCCCATTGTGGCAACCCATTGTACATTCATGAGCATGAGCCTGACACCTACTGAGTGCAGGTTATCAATAAACAATAGGTGGTATCTAAGCTATCACACCTGAGAGTTGGTGCAGCAACATGTGATCGTCATGACTCCACAAGCCTCCCCACATTTGAACTGTCAAAATTTCACAGTGAGATTTTGCTCTGTTTATGTAAAAAATACTGCATGGAATTAAAGAGATAAAAATGTAAACAAACTAAGGAAAGGGAGAAATACACAAACAGAAAACAGGAGAGATAAAATGACCTAGATGACAAAATCTTACATGTATTGATAGTACTGTGTAAATGAGAGCACCATGAACACATACAAGGACTGCAGACATGTACAGTAAGTCATCTCTATGATGTGAAGTTGTACAGTACAGTGCACAGCAAGGTCAAGCCAAGGAGTCACGAGAACTGATGTGTGAGCAGCGCTGCGTAATACCTTGCAATGCTAAGGTCTCTGGTGTGAAGAGCAGACATCTAACCAACCACAGGTGACTGCTCTGCACGCACACAGCCCCTCCTCTCTTGTGTTCCTGTAACCTGAGGGATGCCAAAATTGAGCTCCAGGAACGCAACTCCAAAGCGGGCGCACAGCAGTGGAAAGAAGTGAAGAACCTGTGAGAAGCGTTACTTGGCTCAAGATGTTTCCCTAAGTTCCAATAATGGAAAAACCCATTTGGACTCAAAGGTCAAAGGTCAAGGTCTGTGCCATTCCTGTGAATTTGACTGGGCGGCATAAAACCACAAAGCAGAAATTCTAGTCAATTAGTTATGTTGTTTCAAAATATGACAAGATTTAATTCTTTCTACTTTTCTTATGGAATTTAACTTGGACAATCTGTGCATTCAAACGATAAGGTCCACTACCTTTTCTCTATATTTTGACACCTCAGGAACAGGACTCTAATTTATAATTTTAGTCTTTGTTGATACCAGAACCCTTTTCAAACTATTTCATTTTTAATTGGATTAGGTCCCATTGCACTGACACATTGTCCCCTTTGCTGCTGCAATTATTCACTGTAATTTTGTGTGAAAAGGATCCTCTTGTCATCAGGACAGATTTGCTTCAGCAAAAGGAGAATAAAGATAAATGTATAAGACATGCAAAAAAAAAAAAAAGAAAAGTTTTCACAGGTGCAGGTCAATCAGAAAAAACAAGAGATCTGCGTCGGCAAATGGCACAATTCTTTCACCAAATTCCATCCATCCATCCATTTTCCTCCTCTTATCCGGAACCGGGTCGCGGGAGCAGCAGTCTAAGCAAAGATCCCCAGACTTCCCTCTCTCCAGACACTTCCTCCAGCTCCTCCGGGGGACTGCTGAGGTGTTCCCAGGCCAGTCAAGAGACATAGTCCCTCCAGCGTATCCTGGGTCTTCCCTGGGGCCTCCTCCCGGTGGGACATGCCCGGAACACCTCCCTAGGAAGGCGCCCAGGAGGCATCCGAAACAGACGCCCGAGCCACCTCAGCTGGCTCCTCTCGATGTGGAGGAGCAGCGGTTCTACTCTGAGCTCCTCCCGGGTGACCGAGCTCCTCACCCTATCTCTAAGGGTGCGCCCGGCCACCCTGCGGAG